CAGCAGTGGTGAAAGGGTACTGCGGGCGTCGATATATATTTTCGGGAAAGCACCAGAAGATGCACTTGTGGGGTTGTTGCCACTATACGGGCTCCATTGCGCTTAAATCAAGGCACAACGGCAACAATTAAAGTCTAACATTTACGAAGTGCATCTAGGACGAGTGCAGAATTTGTCATTGGAAAATCGGTTTCTACTTCTTGCAACTGTCTGAAAGCGAGTGAAGATTCACGACAGAACAGCGCTCGAACAGGGATAACATCCTGCCCAGCCTTTGTTCTGGACGGTGGGTGACCAGCAAGGACTCACAAGAGAAGCTCCCAGGCCAGCGGACCAGCCTGTCGGAGATTAAGAGAAAGAAGGATCAGTTTCGTCTTATAACCAGACCACAATAGGGATGGCGTTGGAAGGCAGGCAGACAGATTTCGAAGCAGGTCTGACTTTAGCGCCTGGGACCCTAATGCAAGCCCCCGGTATCATGGCAACCCGGTATGATAATCTGGAATGCGGCGGACCCTGGTCTACAATTTTCTCCGAACTATGGGTAGCCAGAGCTTCGACGGGGTTTGGCAAACCACGGAGGTTTTATGACGAAAGACCCAGATTTCCAAGCTTGATCCGATCCACTGCAATCGGGCGATCGAGGGACTGAATGAAGCAGTAGACCTGGCTTGACAAGGGATTTTGAGGGATGTTGGAAAGGGACGACTGTCTTCACGATCAAGGAGCAAAAAGGATCAACGGCGGGATCGACGTATCACTGCGGAACTAAGTTAGCGAGTGGCCTGTGTCCCAGCGTCTCGGATGGGCCTGATCTCTCACATTTGCCCATCCTCTACCTGCCCCTCAACCTTTGCACAGGGAAGACTTCTAGATCCTCGGTGCCTCGATCATCCTGTGGGTAGAGGTCTGCAATTTTTGTGTGTTCTCGTCGACCTTAGACCTGGAGTCCACAAACCTTGTAGCTACTTGTGGACTGGCCCTGGCCTCGTTCGCACACAACCCAAAAAGAGTCTTTGACAGCTCTTCGCAATCCGTTTGATCAATATCATCGCATCGAAACGCGCAGTTCAGGAAATCGACCTGGTGGTTGGCGCTCTCAGGGCCCTAAGGGCCCTCAGGGATAGGATGACCAACCGCGAAAGGTGTTGATATCCTTCCTCTTTCGGGGGTACGTGCACAACAAGGAAGCTTAACGGGAATGACCCAACAAGAATCATACTCGAGTAAGTTAATCCTGGAGTTCATAATGAGACCCCGCGTCAACTAAGTTGCGGATCGAGATTCCGAGCCTCCCTTGCTCCTGCGTCGAGGGGCGACCTGCCTTGCTGCACATCTTCATCCCTACCGAAGGACAGGAAGATGTAAGGTCTGATAGGTCATTGGAGTCTGTCCCCACGGACGTTAGAGCTTTTGTTTACACCTCTGAGCATTGGCATGCGTCGGAGCTCCCCCCCGGCCTAGCCACCGTTGCAATGGTTGGATATGCCCTAGGTGGGCCAAGGCGACGTTGTTATTTTTGGCGAGATATGTATAAACATATTCTCCCCTTGGTCCTCGCCATTCTTGATTCCACTGTCTCAATATATTCCTTCGTTTAGTTGATGTCTCTCCTTTCAGTTGTACTACGAATCGACCACGTCTCTGTCTTATGCCTCTGATGAGCTGCTTGCATGCCTGAATGACCACGACCAATCTCTCGCTTTACCACAGAACCATAGTCCATGGCTAACGGATACTCTCGCATGCCCGGCGAAGTGAACGCTTCTTACAATAGCCGCAAGATATCGCAAACCACACCTTACCCCGAAGCTATCCCGGCCAAGAAGCGGGCTTCATCATTCTACCCTGTCCGAGGCCCGGGGATCGTTGACGAGTCGAACCCAGATCCCTTTTATCTGGAGCACACTCTGGCAGAAGGTGGTCCCTGGGGCCCTGGGCGGCCGCACAGTCGCGATGCCAGACATAGTGACGAAGCCAGTCAGTACTTGATGCTTGGGTCTTTACACAACAACAAAGGCGGTCCTTTCGCAATCTCGTCGCGTGGAGATACCACGAGGTTCCGATCCAACGTCAACCGGTCCACTCTGTCGGTGGTTGAGTTAGAGCATCAATTGAGCCTCCGCGAAATCACTGCCAACCAGCCCTGGGGAGGAAAGTTCCCAAGCTACGATCAATCGTCTTTTAGCTCCGTGCAAACCGACGCGACGCCGGATTTGACACCCAGCAGTTCATTCTCTTCCAACTATTCCGCCCTCACGAACCGGGAAACCATCACTTCGGGGTCAGAATATCAGTCTTTGCTCAACCAACAAGCACCCCCCAGTCCTAGGCGCCAAATATATCCGGCTTCGTCTACACCTGCCAACCTGTCTCAGACAACATTGACAACGGAGCCTTCAACACCGACGCGATCGTTGAAGACGCTCGCCGGGCCATCCAACGCATCCACAGACACTCTGGTCATGCAGAGAGTAAGTAGTCACGATCCCGCATCAACCCGTGGGAAGCCATTGCCGTCACTGCCCAACGGCATCCGCAATCGAAACAGCAAGCCCGGTAAGAAAGGGCCACCGCCAGCTCTTCGTCCTCCAATCGCCCCGTCCATGATATCTCCACCCTGCTGGTACAACCCAGTGACGAAAGAGCCTCACGTATCGCACTTCGACCAGGCTATGTTCATTTCTGGGAATGACCGTCCGAGCCCGGTGCCGAGCCCGGTTCCAGCGTCACCATCTATTGAGCGCCACCCGATGGCTAAGCGGCCAGCAACCTCACCGGCGGGGATGATCTGCCAGCACGAGCAGTCGGTCTGGGAGTCCGACTCGGATAGCGAGTCGGTTGATCCGAGGTCCTTGTCCCGCAAGCCCATGGACACTTTGAAGAAGGTCCGAAGCCGAGTACATCTTCGCGTCGCCAAGTCGGCCCCAAAGCTCAACAATACTCATGGTCAAAGTCAACACGCACAGGGATTGGAAAGATTCCCTTCCACGCCCGATCCCCCTCCGGAGCTGCTATGTCCGTCGCCTATGCGAGATCTCATTCGGTCTCGGTCCAAAGACATCCTGCGGCCCACCGCGCAGCAGACCCTGAGACTGGTCGCTCCATCCACGACGTCGCTCGTTCAACCGCGATCGCGACGCAATAGCAACGGGGCCGTGAACGTTGACATGGACCGCACGACGGCCGCTGCCATGCAAGCCAAGTCGCGACGGCGGCAACGATCGGACTCATCGCCCAAGGTTCTGACTGAGGCTGAAAAGCTGTGTACTCTCTGCCGGGAAGACCGATCTGACCGCGCGATTCATCAAAGTCTCACCCTCGCCCGGCCCCCGCTCTATAAACGGGTGTGGGAGTCGTTGCGAGTCCTGGGCTGTCATGGCGATCTTCCTCCCCCGCGACCCCGCCGACCCATGTGATCTTTTCTGGTGTTCTTGATTCTGTGCGCGGACAAGTTTCGATTGGCGCCGAACCATCTTCTCGAAAACGCATTCACGACCAGTGGTCGCGACGACTTTTCACGTTCCCTTTATCTTGATCCAACTTAATGTCTTATGATGCTACCTGATGAGCCTCAGATGAACAGTCTGGGCGGTTTATGACTGGATGCTTCTCCATGTCACCCCATGATATAGCGAGACGCATGCGCTGAGTCTGGAAACATGACGCAGCCGTCTAATGATGCAATGAACATCATCACAATTGATGAGGCAACGAACAGGCGTGAGGGGTCAGCGTGGCCCTCAATCCTTGCCTCTGCTTACAGCTTTGCTTTCGGTCTGTCATATACACACCGTGCCGGTCTTTCCCACCAAGTTGAACCTTGGACGTTTCTTTTCGTATCTTTCCGAGTTCTCTCATCCACATTCACTCAACGTTTCTCTCATGGTGTCTCTACGCCCATCACTCCTTGACTCCGACCTGACCATGGTCTGGCCCCTATTTCCTAGTGTCCCAGTGTCCTGTCCATAAAAGCCAGTTATCGAGGGCCATATTTTTGCCTTGCCAAGCATGCAAGCCTTCCATTGCCATACTCGTGTAAATCAAAACAAACAAGCCCGGTGGGGCTGGCTTACATACCTGAATTGAATTTTTCCTTGTCTGGAATGTGTGGGGTAATTCCGTCCATGTTTTTTTTTTCTGCGAGTGTAACGATGGCGAATCTGGGAATTTCAGGATCCAACGCCGGGGTGAAGGGTGTAGTCTGGACCAAGGCACGATCCCTGGTTGTAGTCTTTTGGGAGGTAGGAGTTTATCGCAGGGATATCCCTTGTCGAGAGAGCGTGAAGTCTGACGAACCGGACTCAGTGGTCTTGGTGATGGACGAAGTAAGGGCCCTGTTACATGTAGTTTGTAGCATGAGTTCTGGGGCAGATGGAGTTGTAGTCTGATGCCTAGTCTAGTCTAGCTAGTGGTCTATCTTTAAGTGTCCAGGTAGCAACCTACTTAGGCTGTCCACTCCCGTCCCTGCGTATGCGGCTCTACATTGCGAGACAGATTCATGGCCCTTAGATCGCGGACACTGGTTGAGCCTCCAGGTTATCTCCCAGTATCTGGAATGACAGTACGGTGGGCAGACACCACCACCTCCACCACCAATCCACCAACCGTGCAGCACAGCACTGCCCTTGTCTCCCTGTCTGGCTCCTCCCGTCGACGGGATGTCTCGAGGGCCGCGCAGTGCCGTTCTGCATGTCTCATGCAAGTGACTGACTGACTTGGTTCTGCAGCGGATGCAGCGCTTGAGACGAGATCTTTGGCAAGCCGGGACAAGGCCCTTGGCAGGAAGACCTGCAGCTCGTAACCCGTCCGTACAATACGGTAGGGAGGGAAGTAGGGTAAAAGGGTAGGGAGGGTATATCCGCGCCTGTCGCTGCCCCTTCGTCTCCCCTCCCCTCGCCTCCCCACTGCATCCCAACAACCAACCCCAAACAGGAAGCACAGCGCAGCACAGCCCGCAGACAAGAATATCGAACCTAACCCTCCCCCCCCCCCAAAACTCAACCCGACAACTCCTTCAACTCCAACGCATCCATATTCTCCTCCCACAGCGCCACCTGGACCCTCCGCTCCCACGCCGAAATCACCTCCTCCGCCTTGCGGGCCAGTTTCGTCTCCGGCAGTTCCGTCTGCTTCCCAGTCCCGGCCTGACCCGGAAGATCCTCCGCCGAAACCCCCCCTACCCCCTCAAACACCTTCCGGATGTCCAACTCCCGGACCGCCCGACGATACAGCCCCAGCAGTTCGGCGCGTTTCCTCTCGCGCGGCGTCTCCTCCGCTGTTGCTGCAGTCGTAGCCGAAGTCGTAGCCGTAGCCGCAGCCGTAGCCGCAGCCGCAGCCGTAGCCGCAGCCGTAGCCGCAGCCGAAGCCGAAGCAGTAGCCGTAGCACCCCCACCCTGGCCAACCGGCAAAGGCAAATCCTCAAACCCAATCACCGTCGCAGCGACACCTTTATCGTTACTCGTAGCCGGGGTATCCTTCCTGCCGACAGCGCCGCCCGGCCTGGAAGCAGCAGCACTGCCACCAGCTCCAACCTTGCGGACCCCCTTCCGCGTCGGCTCCTCCAGCCCGCGGATCGCCCCCTCCAAGATCCCCAGGATCGTGCCCACGCGCATGCCCAGCTGGGCGCCGACGGGGAAGCCCGCGTCGAAGCCGGATTGCACTTGGGTGGATTTGGCGGCGGCGAGGCCGTCGCGGTAGCCGGCGGTGACGTGTTGGCGGCGGAGGGAGGGGAGGTCGGAGGGTTCGCTGGCGGGAGCGGGGGTGTGGGTGTGGGTGTGGGTGTGGTTTTGGTGGTGGTCGGGGGCGTCGTGGGGTGGGGAGGAGCCGAAGATGTCGTCTAGAGTGTTTTCCATTTTGTTGGTGTTGGGAGAGGGAGGTGTATGTGTATGTGTATGTGTATGTGTGTGTGTAGATGGTGAGGGGAGGAGTGAGTCGCGGGATTGGAAAAATAGTTCGAGCGGGGAAAAGATATATTGAACCTTGAACGGAGCAGTGGAGTCGCTTCGGGGTTAGTGGCGTTAAGGCGTTACGTACTGGTAGTTAAGGTTGGGTCGGATCTGATATGATCGTAGTGTACGGAGTATTGTACACAGGTATGTGACTATGTCCTGTGTGTCTATGGAGAGTTGACAAGAGATCTTGTTAGATCTGGCATACTACTGGGTATTAATTTCCAGTTACTTGGATAAGTAAGTCCCCTGTAGGTCTTCAGGACAGCGACAGCTACTATAGGCCCAAACTCGCCGAACAAGGAAGCACACGGTGTTTCGGCGCGCATTAGCCTCCGTTCGCCTTTCATATATGAGATCAAGGGAGTATTCACGGAAAAACACGACCTCTCTCTTTTCCAAGCTATTTGACTGCATGGTAGTCCATAGTCCATAGTCCATGTCCATATACCCAACTTCATCCAAAATGCCCCGCCTCCGCCTCCGCCTCCTCTACCTCCTCACGCCCCCCGCCCTCCTAACCTACACCATCCACCGCACCCTCACCCACCTGGAAACCAAATACCCCCCGATCCCCGCCGCCCAAGGCAGCACCGCCGCCCTCACCACCCCAACCAACCCATCCATCCAACGCTGCGCCGAAATCGACATCTACCAGGCCCGCGTCCCGGTCCGCGCCTTGCTGCGCGCCGAGGCCGCCCTCACCGGCACCGACACCACCACCACCGAGAATAACCCAGAAAACACCACACCCCCCCGAATCTCGCAAGCCACGCTCCAAAAAGCATGGGCCCACCTCTTCCTCACCAGCCCGATCCTGCAAACCGAAGCCAAGCTCATCGGCCTCCTCACCACGGGGCGCTTCCACCCGGGCGATGTGGGGTTGTCGGCTGCGGGGTTTGCGGCGGTGCCGCCGGACACTGTCCCCGACACTGTCATCGACACTGACACCGCCCATGACCTCACGGATCCACAAAGTCAAGGCTGGCAGAAACGCAAACTCATCAACGGCGGGTTCACCGTCGAACGCGACCCCGAAAGCCCGGGGGGGTTGCTGGCCAGCTGGCGGGTTCCGGACGCGGCACGGGGGTTCTTTGAGCGGCTCGCGCGATGGGGGTACCCGTGTCGGTTGATGAGTGGGGGGCGGCATGAGTGGGGGGTTTCGGAGGTGTATTTTTGCAGATCAGAGGATGGGGGAGAGGGAGAGGGAAAGGCAGGGGAATGGGTGGTGGATGTGCGGTTCGGGTCGGCGCATGATTATGAGATTGTCGAGGCGGAGGGGGCGGCGCAGAAGGTGGTGCCGCGGTGGGTGGGCAGGTTGCATCGCGGGTTTGCGAGGGCGTTGGTTGAGGATGCTGTGAGGAGGCTTGGTTAGGGTTAGGGATGGGTGGGTGGGTGGGTTCATTGATGAGTTGATAGCTTGGGTTTTAAGATGAAGTGTACAGTACACTATACTGCACTGTACCTGTACTGCACACTATACTGCACTGCACTGTACTATACTATACTGCACAACACACCCCAGATGAAGCGTGCTTGTACGGAGTACTGTATTCTCTTCTAACAATCCTCCCCATGCGCCACAACCCCCCACCCCCTCCACCCCGTATACTTCACGCACACCTCCCACCCGCTCCGGATCACCTGGACTTCATCCCCCGAGTCGGTCCCGCACCCCGCCCCATACAGACACAGATCGTACGCGCTGCTCGTGCTGGGGCTCTTCCACGAGAACGTGTCCACGGTGCTCGCGTTCAGCCCCGCGTCCAGCGCGGCGCACCCGTCCGTCGCGGCCACGCCCTGCCGGTGCCAGAGCGAGAGGTCGAACGAGGTCGTGTTGGGGTCGCAGCCTGGGCTGAAGAGGCGGAGGTCCCACTTTTCCTCACTCGTGTATTAGCATGAGTATAGTTTAGATTAGGGGGGGTTGAGCTGGGTGGGTGCATTGGGGATAATCAGGGGGACAGTGGACAATGTAGTGTGCAGGGTTGTGTATAGGTAGTTTAGTGTGCATGGTTTGGTTCATGGTGTGGACAAGCTAAGGCAGACGCACGTTTCTAGGCCGGAGGATATCCCGGGCATCGATCGTGGAATACGTCGTCGAGGGGATAGCGAGAGTCGAGGACAGCAGGCTGAGGACTGTGGTAAGAGTGGATGAGATGTGCATTGTGATTTGTCTAGAATTAAGAAATGCAGGATTGTGCGAGACAGATGCAGTGTCCTCACCGATGCGAATCGCCAGAAGATGCAGGTTTTCACAAGTGAGGAGAGTGAGGAGTCGGGTGATCGTCAGGGTCCCATCTTATAAATAACCGGCCATCAACCCACAATTTCAGGTCTGCGGAGAAAAGGCCCACTAATGCAGGTCTCCGACCAGACACTGCGAATCACAGCCTGTTTCACCTCACCAACCCTGGTAGGTACCCTGGACGGAGTCACCGACAACTCAACCCTTATTCTATTAATACATATCTCATCTCCTAGCTACCTAGTACACACCACCCTCCTCTACTGCCGCCCCGGCCCTAATCGCCATGCCCGCAGAGGCAGCCCCTGCAACTTCAGCACCGCCGGCTTGATGAAGAACACAAACGTCACCACCCCGATCACCACGCACAGAATATTCGTCGTATAGTAGCCGTCGTGGATCACGTTGCAGGTGCCACCCCCGTGCACACACCGGTTGCGGTCGGGCTCCAGCGCACAAGAAAAGGCCTGTGTGACCAGCTCGCCCTTGAGAGCCTCGGCGCTCGGCGGCACCGTTGGCGGCACACAGGTCGCCTCCGTGAACATGTCCACCAGCTTGAGGATAAAGTACCGCGGGAATGTACCGCCCAGATTCGACACCCTGCCCGAAAATTAGCGTGGATCCACCACCAAAGAAAAAGAAAACTTACGTGGCCAACATAGTCATGTAGGTGCCCCCGATGCTCGGGTCGGCGATGCGCGCATGGAAGGCCGACACCGCCACAAACATGACCGTGTTCATGAATGTCGAGAAGATGTGCTCGCCGATCACCGTCAACAGGTACCAGAACGGCACGGCGTCGCCCGCCGGGAAGATCATCACCGTCACCTGCGCCAGCACGGCCGCCGCCAGCCGGCCCATAAACGCCCAGCACCACAGGCGCATCGGCGTGTACTCGGTCGACCACTTGCCCGCATAGTAGCCCAGCCCGATCTCGAAAGGAAAGTCGATCAGCACGACCAGCGCCATGTTGTCCTGGCCGAAGCCCTTGTCCAGCAGCTTCAAGCTGGTCACGCCGTCGTTGGCCTGGAAGCCGATCTTGGCGATCAGATGCACCAAGATGATCGTGTGGATGTTCTTGAGCTTCAGCACGCTCCACATGCTCCGATAGACATCGCTGATGCTGTCGCGCTCGTGCGTCCGGTCCTCCTTCTTCATCAGGGCCAGCAGCGTGGTCACCACGATGTAGGCCCACCCCCAGAAGACCAGGTACGAGCCCAGCGACAGCAAACCCCCGGAGGCCGGGGCGCTGCGGAACCACCGGTTGGCAAAGTCCTCGGAGTTGAAGGCCAGGAACACCGTGTACGACAGAAAGTGGCCCGCGGTCAGGCCGACCGTCTGCGCCGTCGACGCGTAGGAGATGTTGGGCGGCGACATGAGCGTGATGGCCCAGCCGTCCACGGCGATGTCCTGCGTGGCGCAGAAGAACACCAGCAGGAACCACCAGTAGGTGAACTTCCACACGCCCGCGCCGCCGTTGGCGCCCGCCGCCTCCATCATCTCGTCGATGCGCCCGCCCAGGTAGATCATGGCCAGCCCCGCGATGACCTGCACCGGTGTGATCCAGCTCTTCCGCCGCCCAAACCGGCGGCTCCAGATGGCATCCACGATCGGACTCCACAGCAGTTTGAGCGAGTAGGGGTAGGAGGCGAGCGAGAAGATGCCGATCTGGCCGTACGAGAGGTAGGGCTTCAGCAGGAAGGGCACCGACCCCGTAGCCAGGCCCATGGGGATCCCCTGGAGGAAGTAGAGCACACACAGCAGCATGAAGTTTCGCCGGTCGCTCGCGGGAAGGTTGGCAAACGAGGTGGTCGTCATGGCGGGGGTTTGCGGGGTCATGGGGGGATCGTGGTCGAGGCTGAAGCTGGGACGCGCCATGAGACGGTTGGCCCGGCCCGCAGAAGACTCAATGGAGGTTTCCCTCTTGCGCATCTCGATGGAGGAATCCATGCTCTCGCTCGCGTAGCCGTTCTGGCCCGTCGAGATGGTCAGCGATGGCTTCGAGCGACGTTTGGTGACCGTGCGGCCTTTACGCTTCATCTGGGCACGGCCACGGCGGGAGGCGAGTTGGGAAAGGAGAGGTTCGTCGTGAGTTTCGTGCGAGTCCGTGTCTGACTCGTCGTCGTGGTCGGAGGAGAGAAAAGCGGGATCCCCGGGATGATGATCGGAGGAGGAGTGGTCTGTGTAACGAGGGTCTAGTTTATTATTAAAAGGTCCACGGTGGGCGGTGCTGCATGCTAAATGTTGAAGTTCCACCTCTGAGGAAAGCCGCGGTCGATCCGAACGAAATGGAGAGGAAGGGTCCGCAGGGGGGACATGAAGGGAAGGACTAAGGGAAGGGGAAGGAGAAGCAGAAGCAGAAGGAGAAGGGGAAGATAAAGGAGGGACTGGAACTGGGTCGCCGGCGTTGGAATGATGCATCCATTCGACGTAGTGGAGCTGGGAAGGAGAGAGAAGCGTGCGGTGGGTGCGGTGGGTGAGGTGCGGTGCAAGTTCCCGATTTCTTGGAGGCAAAGGGCAAAGGCAAGCTGGCCTCAGTGGGAATTCCCCTTGTTTGGGCTTGGCTGGGTTGAAGTGGATTGGGCGGGCCGATGATTGGGTGGGGAGGGGAGAGACTCTGGTTTGACGAAGGATTCACGTCAAGATTATTGATTGATTGATGCTGAGTGATCGGCTCTAGTGATGCAGATGCAGATGCAGATAACAAGCTATGGGGGGGGGGATGGCTAGTGGGAGTGCCAACAAGATTATATATTAGTTTCTTTGGTGTATTCCACGAACAACAGTCTTAATACGTATCTGGCCACGTCTTCCGCAGGACAATCAACGTTTATTAAACCCTTCTTTGGGTTATTTATTGAATATTCCATCGAAAGTTTTAAGCCAGCGGCTGGTCCAGCGACCCAACCCGGTGGATCTGCCGATAACAAACCTTCAAACCTTCACGTGACATTTCACTCCAGTTCAGTTCCTGTCAACAAACACTGCATACACCCACCCATCACTAACTGCATCACCCCCACCACCCATCTTCAAACGCACCCCAACAACAACAACAACAACAACAACAACAAGAAACCCATCACCAAAATGTCCACCCACTCTCTAAACACAGAAGAAGAAACCGAATCCCTCGATTCCGAAATCTCCACCATCCGCGCCGAACGTCCG